TACAGACATATGTTGCAATCTGTCTAGGGATAAAAATGAAAGTCCATATAGAGGATCCATAAGGCAAATTTCTTGGATTAATAAGACAATGTTGTTTTGCTTACATTGTCATCCAAACAATCAATCTGATGACATTACTCAAATAATATTAGAATTTGATGATAATGGACAAATTCAGAAAAAATTATTTGAGAACACTACTCATTTTACAAATTTCTTGCGAAAATTGCATTACAATCCAACTTATGACATAATTCTTTGTGAGACTAATGAGGGTTCAATTCACGAAGGTAGTTTTTGTATCGCTTTTTCTAAACTTTAACAGTTTATTTAACTATTATTGACATTAATTTTTTTTTTCACTTATTATAGTTATTATTGATCACAATGATCCAAATCATGCTGAACATTTTCTTGTTTCAGAAACACCTATTGTTTCTCTTCCTGAAGTTTGTAACTGGATTGGCACCGTACAACTCGAGTCAGAAAAAAACAAAGGGGTATAAAATCTTCGGAATTAAACATTTGTATAGGGCCAAGAATTTTTTATTATAATTAATAACTATCGTTGATTTACAGGTCTTCGTGATAGGATTGAGCGAGCATAATAAGTTATATGTTAATGAAAATTTGATTGCTGCAGACTGCACCTCATTTTTCATTCATAATGACTTTATTATTTTTACCACATTGAGTCACGTCGTGAGATTTTTACCTCTTCATGCTCTTCATGCTAATTTACTAGGTAAATATTTCAGTATCAAATATCTTAAACCATTCAAAAATTTTTTTATTTATTATAATAATCAACATTATATATGAATTAGATCTAAAAGTTCTTGATAGTGTGGTTCAACCCTATGATGAGACTGTAAGAAGGGTTGAGAGAGGATCAAAAATTGTATGTGCTGCGTATTATGATGTATTCTTGGTGTTGCAGGTAAGATAAGTACTAAGCTAAATATTACATTAGAGCCTCTTTAACATAAAGTATGCGTTCCCATTTAGATGCCAAGGGGAAACTTGGAGACAATATATCCACGCGCTTTGGTTTTAGCATCAGTCCGAGATTTCTTGAATAAGTATGAATAAATATTTTTCCTTTGTCACGTTATTAAGTTCATTATACTTAAATTATTTACTTTGGTATTGGTTTATTGCATAGGTGTGATTATTCATCGGCCTATAAAGCATGTCGGAAACATCGAATTGATCTAAATATACTACATGATCATAGTCCTGATTTATTTTTGAAAAATGTACAATCTTTTGTCACTCAAATCAAAAAAGTTGACTATTTGAATTTGTTTTTGTCAAGTCTAAGGTACAATTTCTTTGTAAAAAATGCAATTACCATTAAAGTCAATTATTTTATTCTACAACTTGTGCTCCATAAATTGATGGTATTAGGAATGAGGATGTAACTGTAACAATGTATCCTCAAATTGGAGATAGTCCTAAATCTTCTTCCTCTTCAAAGTAATTTAATATTTTAAATCTTGATTTTCATGTTCATGGCCTTTTGATTATGTATCTGAAGTTTTGTTTATACTCTTATATATAACACCTTAGCTCACATGACGTGTCCACAAAAGTTAACACTGTGTGTGATGCTGTACGTGCAGTATTAGAATCTATGGACACAAAAATATATCTTCAATCGATAATAACATCGTATGTTAGAAAAACACCACCTGATTTGGAATCTGCATTGAATTTACTAGTAAAATTAAAAGGCTTGTGAGATTCATTTTTCTGATCATTTGTTCCTCTCAACCACAAGTATCAACCATTTACATTATTACAGATCAAGATATGGATTTAGCAGAGAATGCGATCAAATTTGCAATTTTTTTGGTCGATGCGGATCGACTTTTTGATGTCGCTTTGGGAATGTACGATTTCAGTCTTGTTCTTATGGTTGCTCAACAGTCACAAAAGGTATTCATTGTTACTCTAGATGTTTGTTAATTGACAATGTCATTGATCGAGCTATATTATACAGGATCCTAGAGAATATTTACCTTTCTTAACGGAGCTTGAGAGCTACCCGAAATACTATCAGCAATTTAAAATTGATAACCATCTTTGTCGTTTTGAAAAAGCATTACGAAATTTAAGTCTTGCCGGTAATGTGATGAATAATTTCGTTTGAATTAACATATGGTGTTGGGCTTGTTAATTAACATTTGATATTATTGCTGTATCTAAAAATAACCATTTATCTGGAGTCGCTACTTTAGATATCTAAAGTAGCACTCGACTAAAATTACTACTTAATGCATGAAGGTCTTAAGTTTAGTCAAGTGCCACTTCAGATATTTAAAATAGTAGCTTCAGGTAGATGGTCACTTTAGATACAATAATATCATATCAATTACATTGATATTAGGGGATGAATATTTTGATGATTGCTTAAAATATATTCGTGAACATGAATTATATCAATCTGCAATATCAATATTTGCAAATAATAATGAAAAATATAAAGTATATATTTTTGTAATATATTTTTATTCTTTAAATGGTTATATTTAAATGGTTATTAATTTTATTGGCAATAACTTGAAGAATGTCATGGCCATTTATGGGGATTATTTGTTTACGGAATCAAACTTCAAGGAGGCTGGCTTAGGTATGATTAGTGTCTGGATTTCTTAGTTCTTTTCATTTATTTGCAAATTCCTATGTTGCTAATATTGAAACTTCATTGTTGAAGCATATATACTTGCTGGTGACAAACCGAAAGCACTTGATTCATATAAAAATTGTGGGTCATGGCGCGAAGCTTTTGCTATCGCTCAAGAGTTAAATAGTTCATCAGATTCTTTATTTAGTTTGGCCAAAAGTCTTGCAGGTTTGTTACTACTCAGCTGCTTTGTTTCTATTAAACTGTTTTGTTTTGTGGCTGAATATATATAAATGTATTTGACTATTGTTAGAAACACTTTCGGATAAACACCAATACAAAGATGCTGCACAAATAATATTGGATTATACTAAGGTAATTACAATATCACATTGACAAGTTTTTCTTGCCTTTAAATTAATTGCTTTTGATCAACCTTTAAAATATAACTAGCAACCAGAAGAGTCGATTATTTTGTTGAACAAAGGTCATTACTGGGCAGAGTCAATACGTATAGTAAGTGTATCATCTTTGAATTCGTTTATTTTGATCGATTTCTTAATATGTTATCCACTATCATTCTGTAATGAACCCTTAAAAATAGTTGGTCGCAAGTTTTATTTTTTAACCGGTTTTAATATTTATTTATTTGTATAGTCCTACATGTATAACAGAACAGATTTAATTGAAACTAACATTAAGCCAAGTGTAATTGAAGGTATAACTAATTATACATTATTTACAATCTTTCATCGCATTAAAAACATTGCATATGCTATGACATTTAATATAGGTCATACTCAGCTGCTTCAAGATGTGAATTCAATGTTAGATCAATTAAATCATCAAACCAAAAGGCTAAAAGAAATTAGAGCCAATAAAGCTAACCAATTAAGTAAATATTTAAACTGCCTTGCATATATAATATATGAACATATTCTAATTATTATGTTATAAATGCAGTTTCAGACCTAGATCAAAGCGAAGAATCAATTGAAAATGCTGATGTATTTTCGGATACAAGTTCCATGGCTAGTGGATTTACGCGTTATTCACAGTCAAATACTCAATTAAGTATGCATACAACAAGAAGCGGGTTAGTATTATTATGAATACGCGTATCTTGTAAATACCCAAATATACTGGTTCCTTTCATTCCACCGACAATTAATTCACCGACAAGTTCATTTCATCGACAGTTATTTCACCGACAAAGTAATTCTGGTCATTGTCATAAGGTTTATATTTAGAGTTAAGATTAGTGCAATTTTTACAAAAACTTGTCGGTGAAATAAACTTGTCGGGGAAGTGAGTGCTGGTAAAACGATACAGTTCCATTTGTACTCATAACCATAAATATGTCATTTCGTACGAACGTTTACAGCAAAAGTGCGAAAAGTCGTAGACGGCAAGAAAGAAAGAAAGCCCGTGGCAAAAAAGGAAGTATATACGAAGAGGGGTATCTTCTTGACTCTTTGAAAAGATTGATTGAAAGGTTTAATACAACTCAAGGTATGCTAAATCCCATTAATATTATATCATGACTCGATTTTTAGATTTTGAATTGTTAATCAGTTAATTTTTGTTTAGCGGATATATTAAACCTATTAAACTGTCTTGTGACATTGGGATATACCAAACGAGCACAACAAATTCAAGTTCTGTTTAGTGATTTAGAAGAAAGAATTAAAAATGATCTTGATGAAATATTTGATACGCCGACAAATAATTTGCCTGCTTTTGAGGTTTGTTTCTGGACATTAGCAATAAAATATTGTCTTTTATTTTTAATAATAACATATTTTTACGGCTTAATTATTTTTTAATATTCTAGACTGGATTGGAGCCCAAAGAAATTAGAAAAATTGAAAAACCAAAACTTGCTCAATTGAATTGGAAGTTACAGGTTATATAACAAGAATTACAAAAGCTAACGATAAATTTGTACTAATATTGGATTTTTAATTGCTTTAAATTTACCTTTGGGAAAGATGAACCATTTGTTAAGTTTGTGTACAAATGCCTTAAACATCAGAAAAAAAATAATAAAATAAAAGCCGTTTATTAAGAGTTAGCCATTATATTTTAAATCAAGATTTTGTACCTAATAATTGAACGCAATTTATGTTCATATTTTGAATTCGAACCTAAATAGAAGAAAATTGTGATTAATGTCTTCATTGCCGAATTCAATTCGCAAAGTTAATTGGCGGGCTTCTAATTGTTATTCCGTTTTTGGAGCATCATATCTTCGAAGAATCCGACTTTTAAATTAAAATATCTATTAATTTGATGTGAGATAAAATTGCACTGCGTAAATAAAAATCAAGATTTCTTGAATCAAAAATCTTTAAATTGGTTAGAAAATTCCAAACGTTGGTTTTCTTAGTCCATTTCCTAAATCAAAAACCAGTTGAACTGGGTGCCAAACATTCCTGAAATTCGGTAGAGTGGCTCGAAAGACTTTCACTTCGCTCCTCTCAACTCCAGCAAATAGGAATAAAATCATAAATTTCATTAATTACATGATAAATACACGCCATACAAATAAAGCAAATAAAGGGAGTGTTTATTCTATAAGAAATAAATTATCTAATCTATCCCTTTCAATAAAAACTTTTCTTGAATTGTCTTTTCATTATCTTCTAATTTTTGAATTATCTTATTGTCATTATCTTCTAATTTTTGAATTATCTTATTGTCATTATCTTCTAATTTTTGAATCTTCTCTTCAAATATTTTTATTTTCACTTTCAGTTAATTTTTGAATACTTTCTTCGACTTTTTTTAATTTTTGAAATAAATTATCTTTATCTTTTACTTGATCTTTATCTATAATTTTTAGTAATGTATTAGGAAGAAACGGTATTACAGTATCGTCCCAATTATTATGTTGTATTTTAGTGATTATATCAT